CGCCGCTAAAAACACACAGGAACTTTCAAACACATCTAAAAATGGACAACTATGTCCATCTAGCTGAAAACATATCATGCCTTTCCAGAGGCGTTTATCAGGCAAACAGCAAACGCTAGGTAATATGCTGCCATCTGTGAGGTATTGTCAGACTCGTGCAGGTTGAGCGAATTGGGAGCGCGGGGGTAAACACACACACAAAGCAAAGAGGCACACAGCACGAGCGCTTAACTAACAACTGGTATATTCTCACGTTTGAATGACATATAAGTACACAAGGGTGCGCATGTCAACAGGAATAAGATGACAGTGTGAGCAGCAACGTGGCGTTCATTCAAAGCACTTGTCAACGAATTAACAATATAGTTAAACTCACAGTCAAGTAGTGATAATGACGGATGACTAATACAATGATTCTTATTTCTAGAAATGTGATATGCTTCGGAAATTTCACGCGTGGTTTGAAGCGGATGCCGGAAAAGTACACTTGTTTGTTAAAACAATGGTTGACACTTGCAGTAATTGCAATGGGAAGCTGAAACGGAAAAAAGGCTATTTTTCAAGGAACTCAAATGCTCCCTGAGGCGCATATTCGAACATCGCCCGGGCTGGCCGATGTACATGTGACCGCACGTTAGCGTTATGCTATACACCACTCCTAAAAAACACTTAACGAATTGCTTTGCATGTTTCTGCAAACATCCTCTGCTTTTTGACGTGCCCTGCACCCTCCTATGCACCATGGCCGTATATGCACCATGGCGCATATACGGCCCAATTTAATGGGTGCAGAGAAAACAACGCGCCCACCAAACCTGTTCCCCACACTTTTCAGTCCATGCGCCAATTTATGAATGTAAGGGATGACGGTCACGCGTTTGTTTCCTTTATTGCATTCTGCAGAAACACACGCACGTTTATCACCGTTTCGCACCGTCCGCTGAAGTCTTTCACACACCGATGCGATTAGATACGGCAGGTACCCGGCCCCGAATAACCGTCCTAGCTGCGCTAAGAAACCATAGTGCCCCATGTGGATGCAGCTTTTTTCCAGCACTGAACAAAAGCATGACATAACAATTCCTCGTTTTATAAGCTTGGAATGGCCGGATGAGTAATTTAAAACAGGTTTCGCGGATCGAGGGTTATATTGCCAGCAAATATGCTTGCCTCCGAGGGATAGAGAAAGGTCTAGAAATTGCAATTTATGATTACTCGGAACCTCCGAGGTAAACCGGAGGCCCATGGCCTCCATCTCGAAGCATGGCAAAATAGCGTCATAGTTCCCTGCAGAACATTTCTTTACAAAAATTAGATAATCATCAACGTATCTGAAGCCTTTGGTGCCAGATGATAGTTTATTGCTTAGGACGGTGTCCACCTTTCTTAGGAAAATGTTGCTTAATGCAGAAGCCACACTGTAACCTATACACGCACCCAATTTCTGCACGTACAGGTTTCCAAGCCATACGATGAAGGTCGACTTCAGGTAAAACGTCAAAATTTCTAAGAAGGACTCAGTTGACACTCCTGTACAATTCCTGAATGATAGTTCGTCATTATTTTCCACAACTCACTGCTCAACGCAGTTTAGCAACAGATCATGCGGTAAGGAATAATATAGGTCTACTAAATCAACACTAAACGCTGTTACCTCTGAAAACTCACTGGTGTTTAAGTATTCAACCAAAACAGCCGAGTTTTTAACGTTCAAAGGGTTATTCATGTCCAACACAGATGAATGCTTCTGTAGATATTTCGACACATCCAGCTGCCACGAATCCCTCTCCGAGATAATCTCACGTAACGGCACTTCTGGTTTTTGCGTCTTTATGGAAAAGAAGATTTCTAACTCTGCAGATTTGGCCTTTACCACAGAAGAGCCGAGCTTTTCCAAGTTCACTCTATTTATCAGCGAGATTGCTCTGGCTTTCACGGCATTGCTTTTTACAGAAGTAGGTTTGAAATTTGTTTTAATGCTTCCTCAGCCTTGTTGAGGAAATCTTGTCCACTAGTAACGACGAAGAACCCTTCCTTGTCAGAAACAAGTACCTTTAGCTGCTTTTTCAGGCAAACGTCTACGACAGGTTCCACATGCAATGTTCTACTAGACTTAATAGCATTCCTCGAAACAACATGAACACTTTCCGTTACACACCTATGTCATTCTTCCTCCTCGGCTAGCTTGGAGACAGCCCTTGCTGTAGTGATTTTTTCTTTTTGTCGCAGGTTTGGTTCCACAGCGAACTTCGGGCCTCTTTGCAGAACCTACTGAAATTTTTCCGGCAGGTTGACACCACAAAGTGTGTGAGAGAGACAGAGATAAAGATGCAAGGAAAGGCAGGGAGGTCAAACAGACACAGATCCGGTTTGCTACCCTGCACTGGGGAAGGAATGAAGGGGAGAAAAGAGTTTGCCTTCATCCCTTCCCCTCAGGTTTATGAAACGCCCCCCACGTGACGCTTGTTTTTTCTTGACGGGAAGTTGTGGCCTGATGTAGTTCCACAAGGTTTCAGTCACGTTCCTCGCTGTCTTGCACCACTCGACATAGGTACCGCAGTTTCTTAGATCATCGTTCTGGTCACAAATAACCTGTAGCCGGTCCCTATAACACCGGACTTGTCTATAACATTCGGAGCGGAATTCTCCACTCCGCGCATTTTGTGCATTTATTGATCTACACGGACGACAGCTGCATCTGGGCATCAGGGATCATGCGTGTACACGTACGACCCAGGCTCCAGAGAGCGCCTGCTTTGAGGTCAAACTACCTTCAAAGGCGAGGAATGGAGCTGTCATTTGAAAAAATCCTCACTGGTTGCTTTACGAATAAAGCAATAACCCCATACGTGATCAGAATTAATGGACACATGATCAGCTATCAAAAACCCACCGTTTCCTGGGAGGAATAATGATCGTGACTTGTCCTGGAGCCCTCGCATGGCTCCATAAAAAAAAAACTAACCATGATCACTCACGTTCTAAGGTTTCTTGCGGGAAAATAATGGGGTGCATTGGTACGATCCATGCTTCAACTGTATACTTCACTTTTTCTTGGCTTCATGCGCTACAGCCTATTTGTGCACGGCAAGGCCCGAATAACAAACTTACGCGTCCTCCAGTCAATACAAGCTCAAGCACTTAGAATATGCCTCGGGTTTCCGAGATGCGTATCCTCAGCAGCGACTGTCGCAATCGCTCATGAGCACCCTATCCCAACCTACTTTCGTGTCGATATTCTAAGAACGCACATAAGACATGCCACCCGGAATTAATCGCATAACCTCGCCTCCCTTTCAGCTTCCAGGCCTCGCTTTGCATTCTGCTCTATCATTGCCCCACATCGCATGGTGATTCCCACGAACTTCACGCACGCAACAAGACCGTCGTTACCATTGTGGTGTCTACATCAACCGGAAGCCGTGACAACCATCCCCGGAATAGAAAAGAACAAACATTTTGTCAAATTTAGCCATAAAAGAAGTAACATTACTATTTATGCATGAGAAACACAGTGGACGCATTCAAATTGACACAGATGGGTCGGTTACTGCAGGAAGTTCAACAGGCGCATTGGTAATTCTAGAGAAATTCGTCACAATAATGTTTACAACATCGCATCATTCGTGCCGCCCTGGAGTTTCTAGTCGAAGAACCGCAACAGACATGATCAATCTTCTCCGACCCCAAAGTAGTCGTGGCATTGTCTCACCATAGATTCATGGACCAAATGAACAGCTAGTCGCTGAAATAAGACTGCTTCATTACCGGGCTATAGCGAAACAACATGACATAGCGTATCGATGGATACCGGGTCACTGCAGCATCGCTAGAAACATAATCATGTAATGTTTTCACGACATAAACTCTAATAATACTATTTATTTTTTATAAGAAATTTTCATTGGCAGTAGCAATTACAGTCAATCTTTGTGACATCATGGCGAGCTAGGACGGGAATCTCAAGGTCGCATCTTTACCTGTGTGTTTTTGTTCTTTCTTTTTTTATCAAGCATAATCATGTTTACAAAACGTATCGTCGGGGCAATAGTGTTTTGCTTTGTAAATTTCCGGGGCCCTCCACTACGGTGTCTCTCGTAATCATAAGGTGGTCTTAGGACGTTAAACCCCCAATATCTATATCAGAGTTTTGCTTTAGAATTTTGATAGTCAAATCTGCTATAACAAGAAAAATATTGTTCCCTCTGTTAAGCGCTCTTTTAGCACCTAGTTTTCATGCATCACCCACCGGCATGCCTACGTCGTTGAGGCTCTTATGCTCTACAGTTTACGATGTGACGTTTTTTCGGTAATACTTTGCATGCAAACTTATCGCTATTGCCTAATAATAAGTTTCAAAGCGTCTGACTAAGTGCTTGTCGTACAGAAAAGTTACGCTTAGAGATTTTAGATTGATAGAATAAACTATGCACAGCACCGGAAGGCGCTAAATAACGCACATTTTTGCGACATGTACGTGGCTATTTTTTTTTTCGCTGATGATATTTCGCAGACTGAAAAAAAAAATCTCGCTTTTTTAGAATCTTTCTAAGGTCCCTTGGCTTGAGTTTTCAGAGAAATCACAAAAATAAACAAAAGTGGTGCTGACTGCACACAAATATCTGGGTCACTTCTGAAAACTAGCTAACCTTCCTGTCCTTCCTTCTTGACTCCTCCTTCCAAGTCACTTAGGACTTTCAATAGCGAAAACACAGAAGAAAGAAAAAATGGTAGTAAGAAGATAGTCACGAAGACTAAACGAAGCCCAATCACGTTTTTGTGATTACACTCTTCTTAACCTTGTTTGCTTACATCTCCAGTCTTGTGAATAAGCAAGAAAAGAGATGCGAATTGCAGTCTTATATAATTTCGTGTCCTTGTCGCGAGATACAGCCGGCGTTCCAAAGACGTGTATCGGAATACCATAGATCGCTTTCAAGGTAAGAATAAAATTAAGTTGGGAACCATGAAACAAAGTGCGCATGACGCATTCGTTCCAGTGCCTCCACATTGGATTAAGGAACCAGTGGACACATCAACCGTGGAAGGCCACAGTGCGAGCATTGACTGCGTTACCGATGGACACCCAACACCGAGAGTCACATGGCACAGGGGAGTCGGTGAGTAACTGCGTCAATCCCCACTTCCCTGGCGTCCTCTCTTTTCGATGAAAATAATTCTTCTTGACAGGCAGCCATAGCGCATTACTTAAGGAATGCGCAGTGAAGGCGTAACAAGTAGAATATCTCATCTCTACGAATAGTTGTAACAAACAGGATAAGTGAGTTCTAGGTACCCTATGTATCCGTGCAGATCTAAGTTCTTCTTTTCCTGCCTAAGGCGGCCACATTAGAATCTCGTTTAAAAATTAGCGATATCTACCGGAAAATGATTCAGGCATATTGGTGTAGCTTAACCTACATGCTTAATAATTTCTGAAATCTTTCTCAGAGAATAAAAACTATACCTTTTGCGTCTGAAGCTACTATTAAGCGGAGATAAAAGGCTCAGTATAGTTCACAATTTTAACGGATTCACAAACGTCGCTAAAATCTCGAAAAATATATTCATCTCAAAGCTATCGCTGCGGAGTATCACTGCCAAATCAGTTGCTTCCTAGAAGATGGCACTTGCGATTCAGTCTAGTTTCTTTTTCATCAAACAGGGTTGATATTTGCAATTTCGCTTTGCTGTCAAATTTTTCTAACGTCCCTGCGAAAGAAATAATAGCTTAACAGCTATTTGACACCATTGCAAATTGGAACTGTTTGTGTCTGCGTCACCATTGACCAATTCATGTTTTTCCAGAATGAGGAATGACGTAAGGAACGAATGTGCTCTTTCATGATTGAGGCAGCCTTATGGAGACTCCACATTGAACAAATAAAACAAAACTGGTGAATCGGATAAGGTTTTTTTTTGAGTTTTTGCAACTAAGCTATTAAGCTTCTTGTCAGGCCACCCAGCGACTGCAGAAAGCTATGATAAGCATGATGACGATGATATCTCAACGTTGGCCCTTACGCATGCACTCAGGGTATTGGCCAAGAGTTGGTGATATAAACTTTTAGGCAATTCGAGTAGGAAATAATCCTAACAAAAGGAGAATACAGCGTACATAAAAACAAAAAAGTGCAATTACTCCTTTTTGCTTTGCCGACCAAACAATGGTCAATATCTTGAATGTACGATATGGTAATTTCGAACATATTCAAAAGTTATTGTTTGAATTCGCTCAATAATGCTTTGATACCACATATACAAAGGGGAATTTTGAGGCGAGTTCATTTTGATTCATGAACATAACTACTAACGGCATTAAAGTCGTTCCTGTGGTGTAGCCCAGAGCCGAAGCACCAAAGGTAAATATACTGTTAATGAAGGTCAGCCCAAGGGATCGATTGGGAAGACAAGAAGTCACTTTCTTCACAATCTGTAACTTCGCCAGGACAAAACTTACTGCTCTATTGATTCAACTTCTGAACAAACGCTACATAGGAGAGATATCACTAGACCAGCCTTGTGAACATCAATTCGACGGAGGCACACGCCATGGTAATCTAGTGAACATGGGTTCGACTTGTCTAGTATGACACGACTAGCTTTTTCGTAGAAATTTTAAATATCTAAATTCTGTCAACGATATTACTGATTGTAGGTCACCTGCACAGAGGGAAACGTTTCTATATTTTATCGCAGTTACATTGGTCACTACCGGAAGGACAAAAAGTGTTGGTCCATTATATGCCGCTCTATATAGGTAACGAGTGCGCCATTAAATTTACTCCAATTCTCAATGGCTGGGTACCCATAATAATTTTAAGAGCTTCAGCTGTGGAGGAACCAGCGTAATAAACGTCATCAAATCATCTGTTTTAGATGAAGCTGTAAGTGGCGTACATACTGACAGGAAGTCTATAATCATTATAGCGGCATGGGTGATCCAAATTAGGTGACATAATGCTAGAATGTTTTCAAAGTGTTCAGCTTCAAAAATGGGTGTTAAGTATTGTAGTCTTAGTGAAACCACCAGCCAAGGGAAGAAGAGTAAGTACCTACTCCTGCCCTATCATTTTTTTACTGAATTATCAGTGGCTACTGCAATATTTCTTTTCCCGTGTGCAAGATAGTCTTGCAACCGGCTGCTTAAGACTCTGTATGATTCCAACTTAGGCCTATAAAGCAAAATCTAAACATATTCTTAGTCAGGATGTTTATGTGGCAGATTTGATGCTGTTACATCTCGAATTTTCAAGCTAATTCTATGTAGTTGCTTCTGAACAAAAATAACCGCTACGCGATGTCTCCATCGTGTAGCGGTTAGAATCCTCCTCTTTGACTCATGCTTCGCCCCCCGAAAACATGCGCATGTTTTTCGAGAGTGCGTTTCAGCAACTCGGATGACCGGAAGAACTAGAACAACGATAGAATATTACAAAAGGCAGAAATAAAACCAAAGACAAAAATTAACCAAAATAAAAGGAAATGCAGAGAGGAAATGTTAGAGAGCGGACGAGTACAGGTAAAAAAATAGAAAAAAATGAAAGAAACAAAAAGAAGGAAGAAAGAAATTGCAGTATAACGCAATGCAAAATATTATAAGCTGTGAGAAGTGCAGAAATGAATACACTGAGAGAGGGAGAGAGATTCTAGGGAAAAAAGACATGAAAGAGAGACGAAAAGAGAGGAATTATAGCGATCTATGATTTAGAAAGGATGTGGTACAACATAACAAAGAGTTTAGCAAAGAAAACTCTGGGTGAGGAGAAACAAAGAGAAGGTGGGACGGTAAAGCAAACCACTACATTGCGTCGTATACTACAGCAAGAGAGAGAGGGGGGAGCAAGTGTGAGGGGTAGTGTTGTGAGGAGAACGGGGAGGCAGCCAGCTCGGCTGCTTCTTTAATTTTGTACCACCAGTGCGTTGCTGCCCCAATTTTTGTGCTCTTTTATACTGGGAGTTTGTCTGCCTCACATTTCTTTTGATTTTTGTCGGAAAAATAGAAGAGTTTTTCCTTTGTATTTTTTTGTTTTAAACGTTCTTTGATAACACCGAGAAGTCTTGTCATATATGTAAAAAGGATACTTCAACGCAACTGCATTATGTATTGATTTGGACAGTATTAAGCTGTTTCGAAAATGTATCCTTGCCTCGAGTTTAAACTAAAGATTTTCTCCTTTTCCTCGTGCAAAACAAGGCTATTACAGTATGACAATATATTGCATTCTATACAGAATTGATATTTATTTTGCCATAACTATTTCCCTTCAAACTTGTTTTTTTATATTTATTAGAGACCGACCATATTCTGGCATTCTGATCCCTATTTATGACATTGGAAAACACTTGCTAAAAACAACTAGGTTTACCAGGTCTCGCATTAATAAGCTTCTTTTCGAAGTTCATATGCTAGAATGTGCCAATTGGGCTGTGCCAGTTTACCGATATTTTTAGTGGGGGAATGTGTCACTGAAGAATAACTGGTTTGAACTGCTATAACTTTACGAGTAGCTTGAGAAGTGAGATGACGGATCCACCTGCTGTCTCGATATAAGGTGTCTTTAGGTGTAGCGTCACATAACTGTGTTTTTTATCGGTAATGATTGCACTAAAAAAGGACATGAACAGTGGAATTGAGCCGATGTTTTCGAAGAAGCCATACGGAAAGACGAAAAAATCTTAAGAAACATAAAGTAAAGAAGCGATACCATTCTGGTTTCCTTAGCAGTGTTCTTTGCCTCTCCGCTTCTTTTTTTTCCGAGTTAACGCGCATGAAATTAAATTTCTAGACGACCCGCAGCGTCCGCTTGCCCTACCGGAGAGAAATATGCAATATGCATCCCCTTGCTACCTTAGGAAGCAAGCTTCAAGACAACACTCGCTGAATAAGTGAGGATGGCGGAAATTGGAGAAAGCTGTGGCAAAGTTTTCCTACATACTATACAGGTATTGCATGTCTTAGCGCACCTGCAACCCGCATCTTGCATATAAGAGCAACAATAAAGCGATTGCAAGTGCTAAAAACAGCAACATGTATAAAAGATGCTGCATATGTGCCTTCCGTATGGTGATCCTCGCGAGCATTTCTCACGCAGGGTTCTCGACAAATTGACCAGGAGGGCGAAACAACTTTCGTGTCTACGAATGCAAGAAATGAAATATAATAGGCAAAATGCAGAAAATACAAGGCGACGTCCAAATGTCCTAGTATCGTCGGCAGCGCTAGGGCGCCTGCGTTTGCGTACGCGTCTGGGCATTAAAAATAATTATATTCACTCTTCGTTGACAAACGGGTGCTAGCTTGCACTTTCGTGTCGTAATCGTGCTACTACATCCTACGGAAAGGAGTTTCCAGGCGATGTTGAGGGTAAAACAAAAGTTTAAGGGCAGCAGACTCAATGCCTCGTGCATATACATGAACACACCGCATGGGTGAAGGTTAACTAAGTTGTGCAGTATAAGAATGCTCGATATGGGTGTAACGTACTCAGGCAGGGTCCCTTGGAAAGGGGTGTTTCCTGCAGGCCGATAAGTGCATCTAATTCGTGGTGTTGCAGGGTTTATTGTATAAGTGCGCACCTTTCACTGACGCATATGCGGCAATGCCAAAGTTGTTACATATCACATATGCCGCATGCATCTGATGATAAAATAGGCTTTTTCACTATGGCTTTTTTGCTGCACTTTAATTTGACTCATTTAAACTCTCTCGTTTCCAAATATGGTAGAGAATTTTAAACTATTGGTACTGCCTGCGCTGTTGTACAACTTATGAATGGTAACTAGTGCTATGTTTATGAAATACGGAAAAATCTGAGTTCCGTATGAGGATTCATAATAAGCCCCCCAGCCTCAAAGCTTCTCTATTGCAATAACCATCGCATCTTAGGCAATCATTTTAATAAGTCAGTACCATCTGGTTTCCAGAAATGTTTTCTTTCTCCCACTTCACTCCATTTATAAAGTGGTATGCGCACGTGAATCAGAACCTCACAACTCAACGGAAAGTCTTTTTTCTCCTAAAACTGTGGGGACCCTTATAAGCTCCGCCTTTAGGAGTTGAATTCAATATTGATATTATGTTCATAGTGCGTGCGTCAAACAGTTGGTGCATGAAATC